AGGTGTCGATTGCATAGCTACTGGCTGCCTTGCCATTGGGCAGGTAGGTCACTATAATGTATTTGATAAATATTTTAACTCATTGATTAATTATTTTATACAACAAAAAACTATTCAGAGCGAGACGAGTTAAATTTTTGGCAACCAATGTTTTAATTATAATATTAAAATTATAGCAAATATGTTCCTATTTTTTTCCGATTGCCTACTGAAAAGTACTTATACGATTAATATTATATAATATTAATTAATATAATAAGCCCATAACCATATTTTTGTGAGTATTATCTCTGCTCATGATAGTATAGGTGTATCATGTGTATAGGTAAATACAGTGAAACCTGTATATAACGGACAGTCACGGGACCAAAATAATTGTCCGTTATAGACAGGTGTCCGTTGTAGACAGGTTTCAATGTTTTTAATCTTTATTAATATTATACGTACATACATATTATATGCATTTTACACATACACAATAAATTTAATTTTAATTATTTATTACAATTACAATTATTATTTTTACATTACACACATACAATGACACATTATATTTGTATAAATTTATTAATTATTTCTTAAAAAATGATTCTATTGATGTTTGTTTTTTGAACATCGATTTGGTCATTTCTTACTAGTGATGGATAATTAATTCGCTCATATATGAAAATCCTATGTATTTTTGTCCGTTATATGAAATTGTTGTATTAAATATTAGTGTCCGTGTCCGTAATAGAAGGAGTCCGTTATAGACAGGTCGAAATACATTAGAATGCCTATCTTTTTGCCGGGACCGGGTCATTTTGTCCGTTAAGAGAGGTGTCCGTTATATACAGGTGTCCGTTAAGTCAGGTTTCACTGTAGTAAATAAATTAGACCGCGATTAATAAATCGCAAAACAGAACAACAGACACATAATATCACACCATTCATACCATAATATAATATTATAATATGCATATAATGAACTTCTATAAGTAACTACCTACTAACTATTACTAATAGTTAGATACACGCAGGAAAGTTAGTATGGGCCTGTCTCGGCGGCCTCTTGATCTCGCAGGGGGTTGTAGGCGTTGTAGCTGCCCCCTCCCTTGGATACGACTATGCCAGCACCCCATTGAGGGTGTATCACAAAATAATAATAGTTTCCACTAATACGACAATATTAGTGAACAATTTAAATCAATAATAATTATCGTATTGACTCATAGGGCGAAGATTTGATTGAATTTTAGGGGAGGGGCTAAAATATTCTACAAATAATGTAAATTAATAATAAAAATAAAAATTATTATTATAACTATGGAGGGCTAAGTCCTTTCAACATTTAACTATTTTCGTTTATTACCGACGAGTACTCGGACATTTTTCCAAGTTAGGCGGCTTGCTTCGACGCACAGTATATATACATAAAACTGACGAAGGGCACCTCATCGGAGCATTGAGGTAGAGCTGTTTTATTTTTGCATTATACTCATTACACTTCTGCCTTATGGTACTATTTAATGTTAAAATATACATATGCACATGCACTGTTTGTACGTGAGTACGACAGGCTTGAGACAGACAGAGATGAGCTAAGGGGGACATGGCGAGCAAGTGCACTATAGTGCTCCCAATGCACCAACATTTTAGTGGCACCAAATTAAACGATACATTTATATTATTTTGTTATTATTAATTTGTTCAAAATAGTATACTGTGTGGCAAGGGCGGAGGTGACGTGTGCTGCATGAGCCGCAGGCGAGGGCCTCATTTGCCCAAAACTGAAACTGCCTTCCCTGCCTTACTTACTATTTTTTGTCACGCCTCTGAGTTCATCGATCACGGCAAAGGTATTGCAGGGATCTATGCAACAATCAGATTATTCTACAAAAACGATCTCATGAAATAAAAATGTTTATGTGTCATGCAAAGAGATTATATTAATATGAATATAAGATGTAACCAAAAGCTTATGTGTCGTAAGAACCATCGTATAGATTTCAGTACTTTTGGGGATTTCCACTTTACCACCAGGCACATTTTGGGATTTCCACTTTACCACTAGCTGAACGGAAAAAGGACGCTTTTCAAAGCTTCAACCGTTATCGAAAACCAAACTCACGAAAAATCTCAATGAGGTATCTCATGACAAATTAGTTTAATAAAATCCCCAATGCTAAACTTATAAAAAACGAGAATCGACATTCAACTATATAGTTGGTCATCATGACATTCAGTATGCATATAAATTAAGATTGGATATGTTGGAGATTTTGAAGTTTTGATAGTTGTTATCTATAGATACGTATTTCAATTTTCTATTAAAGGAATGTTATTAAACACAACGAAAAATAAACTAAAATCCAATAAAATAAAACCATTTAAATTTGTCTTTCTTTTGATAACTGGGTTTGGACATTCATCTTAGGAATATTTGACGAAAATTCAAAAAGTCTTCAACTCATTAACATTAGTTAGTTATGTGTGGTGTCCCTAAAATTTGATTAAGATATTAATATAAGCATTATATTAAAAATTTGAAATATTTTTTTAATTAAACTTAGTACGAGTTTCTTATATATATTTTCTTGGGAGAAAACTAGAATCAAACGTAGAAATATTTTTCTTTTGATGATGAACCTGGTGGTAGAATTATATTTTTTGATATCATTGAAAAAACTTAGAACGAAATATTTATTATTTTATACTGTTAATAAGCACATCAATATGTTTAACTAAATAAATTAAAGTGGCATACTATTCCAATGTATGTATGTGACAAGTTTTAATTATTTCTGAATAAACATATATTAAATTAATTGACTGGCTTAAAAAAACATTGAAGCTTCAAGCTTGTGAATATTTATACAGAAGATTTTCAAGTAGAATTTGAAAGGAAGTATAATTTAATTTCAAAATTATTTTTTTAACGAAACAAAAGTTAAAAAAATATATAGATGAAGTCAAATTTTACTTACTATAGTAAAATATTGCACTTGAGTAAAAACCGGCACTTGGATCAAGAAAGGATTTTCAACAAAAATATTTGAATCATAAACTTTATTTAAACGTTTTGAAAACACTCAATGCCCACCCCACTTAAAATGTAATTATTATAATAGAATTCTATTATAGCTTATTAATAATTATTGTTTAGCAACAGGGTTATTCACCAAGCATGTTCACCCACTTTTCTTATTCAAAATTGATTTTTTGATTTTTATATGTACTTAAAGGCCATATTTTTAAATTCTTGAGATTTTTTTTGTACTACTCCTGTAAGGAGAGTTACGTGTTCTTTTTCTACTATAAATTATTTAGCAGGATATTTTTCTTAAAGTTTGATGTATTATTAGAATCAAAATTTGAACTAGTAGTTTTTAAGTTATTTACCTTTGTATACTAACGATAATAGTTCCACAATAATAGGTGAGGAAGAATGAAAGACACGGGGGCTATCATGGTGATTTGAATATATTTTACTGTATAATATTAATCCATTAACATTAATAATTTGTAAAGATGGTCCAATTATAATAATAAATACTAGACTAAATATTACATCCACAATGTAATTTTGTAAAACCATGTTTAAAGAATAAATAGCTTACAGTGAAAAAGGGGTCTACTTTGGAAAAAAAAATTTGTATCACTATACCTAAAATTCTGAAACTCAAAAATATGGTATTTTAGCATTAAACTTATTAAAAAATTACAAAAAACTATAAGAAACTGAAATTAAAAGGTAATAAATAAAACATTACTACACATTTTGTAAAATTTAAACTTCAAACGTTCATAAAAAAAGAAATTTGGAAATTGGGTAAAACTCTAATGTACAGTAGGCGTTGAGTCGGACATTAATGGATGTGTACAATTTTAATTCAATGATATATATCATTGTAATATTGTATACAAAAAACTATTTTGAGAGGAGACGGGCTGCCAGCCTAGGATATTGTATATTATATTTAAATTGCTGTCTATAAAAAAATTGTTTTTTTTAGATTTTTATGTTTCTAAATATAATATACTTCTTATACTATATATGGTAACAGAAACCTGTATTAAATTATCAAACTTTATTATTATATACCTAATAATCGAACATTTTATAAATTAAAACTATAATTTTCAATTTTTTGTGATTTTGAAGAACTTTATCAAAACTTGAACTTCAAATGCTTATAATAATAGAAAATCATACCCATGTATTTTTCTCATTTTTAAATAGCTTTTAAAATAAATGATAAGTGACCTTTTAAGTAAATTTTCAAACTTTTTGACAGAGTGAGACAATTTTAAAACGAAATTTGTATAAAATATCTAAATTTTCATTTACTCATAAATAACTCCTTATTTCTATAATCAATATTATAAATTTTTATTATCAAAATCTAAAAAAAAACTTTCAAGAATAAATAAATCCAAAGCATAGTTTTTTTTTTATAAATGGAAAAAGTTGTATATGTGTAATTTTGTATAATATTTATAATACCATAATATTGTACTCTAAAATTAAAATACATAATATATATTACTATATTTTTATATAAAAAAAAAAATAACAAAATCAGTTGTGAATTAAAAAGTTATAATTAACTTTAGTTGTAGGTAGGTACTCTTATTAAACAAATATATAAAGAAGTATATTATGTTAAAGTTCTAATAATACTGTTAGAACCATTTCTACTGTAATAATAAAATATATATACCTATATATTTATTTTAAATAATAGAAAAATATAATAAAATAATTTTTAACTTAAAAATATAACTAACAATAATGATGCATGGTTTAAACCATGTTGAATTGTAATGTAAAAAGTTTTAACGTATAATTAAAAATAAGCAAAAGTTCGATTGATTTATCAGTTTTAAAAATGGTAAAATGGTAGATGTATATATGCATTATTTTGAATTTGATTCTATGTTTTTTTTTATAGGAAAAGACTATAAATTAGGATAATTTATTATCGTTAAACAAGATGAAAATAACGCGCGAAGAAATATTAAAGTTCTTTGTTCAATATCGGTTCAACGGTAGTGTCACTGTTGATTGCTGAAAAAATTGACTTGAAGAATAACCGTACAAGATTAAATAATAACAGTCCAATTGCTATAATTGTATCAGACCATTTGAATATAGTCCATAACAGTAAACCGAATAATAATATTTTGGCAATTATGTCAACATAGTACATTCTGAAACAAAAACAATAAGCTATAGTTAATAGGTATTAAGTTTAATAATATTGGCATAACGTTTAAATAATTATCTAATTACGAATTTAGTTGAGATAAGTATTTCTACTTATTTATTGTGTAAATATAACAATTAGAAAGAAACATTAATTATGACTAATTTGATTATATGTTTATAACTTACATTTTCATATGAATTCTAGCTCTAGGCAGTGTGTCTGGAGTTTCTTTTAAAATATAAATTCGAGCAGCCATAATACAATCTCTGAAGTAATTTCTAATGTCCATATCGTTTCCATCAACCTTGTACTCAAACTTCTCTCGTGGGTTCATAATTCTTCTCATATAATGGACATGTTCGTTCCTGAATTCCCATTGGTTGTTTGCGTAGTATTCGAACACCTCAAATCCTTTGTTAATTCTGTCTTGAATGCGCACCAGACTTTGAAAAATAAAACAAATCATTAAATATTAATCTACTAGGTAGGTATTTAAAATCTATTTGAGTTTGAAATTTTTTGATAATTTGAGAATAAAAACAAAAATACTGGATGTCTCATACACTCATAAAGGTTTACTGTTTGAAAATATTGAAGAAATGAATCTGCTCAATATAAATCTAGTCTGTCAACACTTTTCAGTATCAATTAATGACACATATTTCATGAATGCAATTTACTTTATTTTAAAAATATAAATTGTTTAAATATATAATTACATAAAGTATAATTTATTATGTTATATAATACGTCAATATTATCCTTACCATGGTTTGTTGCCAGACAAATAAATAACAGCATCTAAAAAGTAAGCTGGTATAGTGTGTAAGAAAAACACACATATATTATGTACCAGCTTACTACTCTTCATGCTGCCACCAGGATACCAAACTGCGCCGTTCAAAGGTACTTCAGTAGTGACAATACTCTTTCCAATGTCAATAATTTCTTGCCATGTCACTCTCCATTCTTGGCTGGAAGTTAAGTGGCAAATTGTTCTGGTGGTATCACTGAAATAAGAAAAAAAACATTTATACGAGTTTTTTCACATACATATATAGGTAGGGTAGGTACCTTATTATAAAATAATCGTGTATTATTTTAGGTACCTAGGTACCTAACACGACGATTAAGTAAAAAGTCAAAAATTAACGTATTATAGACTAATATTATAAGATTTCGAGTATAGTGAATGATTTATGAGGAAAAAATGAAGAATATGAATAAATATTTGAACTAATAGGTATATTCTTTAGAAAGTTGTACTCGATTTTAAAATAGATTCCAAAATAAAAATAATAACTAACAAGTACTAACTGGTAGTTAGTTTGTAGTTTATACCAAATACATAAAATATCTTTTGAAAAATTGTACAATAATGGTGTTTAGTTGTGTGTTGGCCCATTGTTCGCTTACTTGTTGCCTATATAATTCCATGTGAACAGTATTATGCCATTGACGGTTATATCGACTGGTAGATAATCAGCGTAACCTTGATTGTGGCAGAACATTGTACGGATGACTCCTTTACCGGCACCTATCAGCAAGCCCGTCGGTCCATTGATATTGTCTGTCCATCCTGGGAGAGGCTCCTTCCATATTGGTATGACTATAACGGTAACAAACGTAAACGACGTAAATAAAAACCTATGGGAATTCGAAAATCACAAGCGCTTCGTTAATAATAAAGACACTGACCAATGGATGGGCGAGCGATTATACAAGGCAATCCAGCTTCAATTTGTTCCACCACCAAATGTTCAGAAAGACATTTCGTGAACGCATACGAGTTTGGAAAACTTCCGAGAATCCTGTTGGAAAAGAAAAAAACATTAGGTACATGGTTAGTCAACTCGAAGTGCGATAATTTATTACAAAAACCCACTCTTTGGATATCGTTTCAACAAAAGGTTCGTCCAACATTTCCATACTTTGGATTATTTTATGCGGATCAGCTGGCGGCGGATACGCTTTTTCGAATAACACTTTTTCTTCCAAATGGCAGTAAGAAGTCGACACGTGCACAAACACCTGTGGAGTAGATTTTGAACTCGCGTTTATGGTTGAAATTCAATTCGTTTTTAACTATAGTTATGTTATCATGGGGCAAACATATCGTTATAGACTTGTACAAAATCGTACCTGCAAATTTTTCATTTCCTTGGCCAATTCCAATACCATTTTCGTGCCTCTAGTATTGAGCAAGACAGCTTTCTTCAATGCCTCGTCGAACCGAATGGTGGCCGCGGCATGATAAACGATTTGCACGGTGTCCGCCAACAAACGCCGGTCCGACTCATTGATGGCTAAATTTGGTTCACTCACGTCACCGGCGATCGGGTATACTTTATTTAACACTTCCACACCCCGTAATTCCTTTAGATAGTCGAATAACTAAAACAGACATAATTTAAGGTGGCCGTTAAAAATTAGATTACATACGTAATACACGTGAGATGTTTATTCGAGTAATATACCTACGTTACATGCAATAATTAATTTGGACCTAAAATCAAATTTTTGTTGGAGTGGCTATGTAATAAATAGTACCTAATCAATATGAACTGGTTTTTCATTACCTATATTAAGAGTTATAACTTTACGAGCTGATCTAAAAAAGTCGCAATTTAAAATACATTATGTTGGTTTAATTTAGTTTTAATGACATACTTAGGAACTGTTGCACGTATTAAAATTTAAAAGCCACATTTATCTTAAAATGAACATTATCATAACTTGGCCGTAATAACACGTAATATTATCATAGCGATGATTAACAAGCATACATAATAATTATGAATATTTTATTTTACCAATCATACAATTATTTAGAATAACTGAAATCATTAAAACAAATATGATACTTACCGTAACTTAAAACCATAATTTGTTTGATATGAATAATGATAAATTAAAGTGTATTTTATTATTAAATGTGTAATTTAAATTTAACAGGACATTTGAAACTACATTATCAAGTAATATTTTTCTACGTACATGATAGATCATATACGTAGGTGAGCTATAGAAATAGATCTTGTATCATATTGAATTTAAAAAGGGTTACAATTTAAAATACCATTCAATAGAAGTGTTTTTTTTTAATATAATTATAGGCTTATAGTTTAGTTTACTAATACCTGTTCACTTTATAGTGTTTATGTAATTTTAAAATTAAAACTTTTATGATAATATTTGTAATTTTATTAACTACCTATATAATAAAATATAACTAATTGACCATTGTCTAAATATACCACTGCTCAATAGTCAAAAGTTATTTTTAAATTTTAGACTATATAAGTAAATTATCTTGTGTTTAAATTTTAACGTTTATAAAATTAAGTCAAGTATAGATACATTTATTATATGGTACGTTTATAGCTTTATATAAAAGTTTCACAACTTAGTTCACAACAAGTTTCAACTACCAAGATTAAAAAAATATTTAAATTATAGATTTGACACAGATTTGTTTCATACTACATTATTACGACTCAAATCTTAAAATGTATAGATAACTGGAAAAGTTGCAAATTGTTGCATGTTGTACCAATTAAACTGATTTTGCATATTATAGATGATGTACATATATGTATGCCTATACATATTATATAAACACTATATTCAGCAACAAAAATGTCTGTTATAAAAAAATCTCATTTAAAAATAGAGTTTTCACGCTCAATCATGGTCATCTTTATTTTGATTCATTCTATAGATTTAATTTTTTTTTCACATTAAATAATTAATATTAATATTTAAAATTTAATAATAAATAAAAAATATTATTTTTGAATAATTTTAAAACATAATATTCTCTTTTTTGTACATTAATACTTTATACATTTTTTAAAATACATATGTTAAGTTAAATTCCTTAAAAAAAGCTTATATACTTATAAGATTTTCTAACCTTTCATTGTTATTTCGTATAATTAAGTTCAAAAACTAAGTTATTTATAACTTATATTCTTGTGAAATGTATAACATTTCTCATAATATTCATACTTGAAATATTTTTGGGTTATTTTTAAAATAATATTTCACAAATATAGTGAAATATTTTATTTTTCTTAAGTATAATTTATCAATTATTTTTGAGGAGGAACTAATTATTATTATACGATTCTTACTAGTAAGTGTATTTTTTTTTCAATTGGTAATCAGAAAATATATTATTCTTTATACTGATGGCTTTTCTTTAATTACTTCCAAATGTTGTACTTTGTTGTAAATATATTTTATCAATTTACCTGCCCGGGAATCTCCGAAATAAAACTCAGGATAGGTACATATTAGCACATTGAATTTGAAATAATTAAACCATGTTAAAATTTCAGTATTTATTTTACAGTTTTTATTTTTATTTTTTAACCTAACGTACTACTAGAGTATTTTTTAGTATATGATAAAATGGTTGATTACCATATAAAACTATGTTTGAAATTAACATTTATTTGTTAATTTAGCTAAATTAAAGAGTGGTGATCTAATCATTTGTCCTAGTACTTGATTTTTGTATTCTTTATTTATTTGTCTTGTTCATCTAATAGATAATTATAAAATATATTTGTGACTGTTATATGTATAAATATAGGTATGTATGTATGTATATTGTATATATGTATGTATGTACATGCGTCATTGATTGTCACAATAGGAACTCTGGACTTCTGGTGCCAAAATTGTTTTAAGTGGACCAATACCTATTTATAAAAGATAGTCTCATTTGGATTTTTATTAGATTCTTTGAATGACAAATTAGTGTTGGATATATATAGGCGCTTTTATAAATATTTCGTAATGATCTTTACCCAGTGATAGATAAGATACTATCTAAAGCTAGGAACTTAATTTGTTTATGATACTAAATTATAATACCCAAGGGTGCATGTGCTAGTATACACTTTCAATTTTAGAATTATTTTAACAATAGTAACAATCAAGAACAATAATTTAAAAATATGAGCTAGTTATGGAGAATGTGATTTCTTACTTTACTCGACGCAAGACCATTTTTATAATACATTTTAAATTAGATAATATATACATTTAATATATTATCAGCTACCATAGTGATATGTTATTTTAAATAAATATTCACACACACAAATAAACTAACAAAATATTGTTTCGTAAGTATTTAATATAATATTAACACTGGACGATTTTAAATCGAAGACATTTAAACCAAATTTTCCAGACATGAATATTGTAATAAAAAGGGCCTTGTTTAGAAATTTTCCAAAAACAGGGGCAAAAAAATGTATAGGTAAATTTAAAAACCACTTTCATAATAAAATTAACTTATATGTTTAAAAATAATACAATTGAAAAATTTTAATTTTTTTTCTTATTAGTTATTGGTGACACAGAAAATGTGTTAATAATTATATATCATAATAACAATTAATGGAGAAGGTTAGAGCGCTTTTGACTTTTTATACGGCTAATGCATTTATGCTAATAATAATATTATAAATTATCACAATAAATTACAAAATATAAAAATATAATATTAGTTACACGAAATCAGTGAATAAAGTTAAGAGAGGATTAATACAGAAAATATTTTTTCAAAAAATTGCTACTCCTCAAATTCAGATGCCCCTGGAAACAGTCCCCCACCCCTAAAAATGGTCGGATGTTCCTACGTTTAGTAGTTTATTTTAATTTTTGTTAAAATAAATTAATAAAAAAAAATATTATAAAACAAAGTTAATCGTAATAATATTGAAAAAATCAATTTTTAATAGTTAGACTTTAGACTTAAGTTTTTTGTTAGTATTATGTTTACCGTTGATCATAGTCTATAGTAAATACCACATCTACTGTTATAGAAATATCAAATACATACTTAATACAATTATTTTCTACACTCAGAATGGCTTAACTTAATTATATTATTAATGAAAATGATAGATTATAAAAATTAACTGTTAAACGATGTCAGCTATAGTAACTAATAAGTTAAAATTAATGTGATAAATCGTGTTACTATAACGTGTGACTAAGAACAATCATAATAATACGTATTAGACTATATTATTACACATTCTACAGGCATGATTCGCTAAAATTGTTCAAACATAATTATAGTTGAATGATTGAGCAAATATTTTAAAGAATATTTCGTAAGACTATAAATTATGTTTTAGTCTCTTAGGATCTATCTATTTGATATTTTAACTTCGTTAGTAGTGTATACACTATATGTATGTAGTATGTACCTTCTATTATTTACATTATTTGTTTTTTTCTGTACGTATGTCACATATGGATTTCTTTTTTCATAATTCGTTGCTACCTAATCGATTATTTTAGGGTCATACCTGCCAATCATTTATCATAAAGTTAATCGTACATTTGTAAATTATTGAACTATTTACTTAGCACTATATACAAAAAGTAATAACTACAAAAAAAAAAAAAATACATAGATAGGACAGCTTGATTGGAAGGTCTATTGATAAACTACTTCAAATGTTACTTTTTATGTTAGATTTATTTATTCGTTTATGTTTAACTTGGTCTCTGGGCCATTTACATTTATAATGTACCTATGTATGTATGTATATGTACGTATGTATGTATGTATGTATGTATGTATCACTTGAAATCACAAAAGTAGTTATTTAATGATTTCACTTTTTATTTTTGGATGTTTTCATATTGTGGTAAAATATTCAAAAGAACAAGTCAAATAAAAAGTAATCTTTGTTCTTTATTAGGTACCTATCTACTAATTATGTTTCTAGTATATGACCTTTAATTTTATATAGGAAACTCGTAGATATTAATAGGTACCTACATAATAATATTATCCTGTAAAATCTGATGGCTAGCTGTTGTAAGTAGTTATTGAATTAAATATTTCAGTTTATTTAGTTTTTGAGACAATACCATATAGGAGAAATCGAATGTGTATACCTACTGCCTATAGGCTATTGTATTATAACAATATTCGTATATTGGAATATAAAGGTTTTGCTCATAATAATATTTTTTATTATATAAATTGTTAATAACAAGTAAAATTGTTAATTGTTAGTATATGTATTTTTATTCTACTACATCTACATTTGTATGATAGCCATTGGTATATGTGTTGTTTTCATCATTCAAACGAAGTTATTTAATTATTAATGAAGAATTGAACCAATTGAATAGATTTTTAGACATAACCTATACATCATTATTGTTCTTTGAATGAATATGAATCAATGAAAATAAATATAGAAAGTAAATTACTGTTTTAGCTGCTAGTGATAAAATGCTGTTGTTTGTAAAATATATTCAATAGGTATTAGCTATAATATTATCCATTTACCCCAAATTAATATAGCATATACCAAATGTAGATAATATCTACTAGATATACTCTAATTAATAAACATTTTTTTTATTTTGGTGAATAGTTATAGGCAGATAATATTAAAAAATCTATATTTCTTTACAAAATATCATTTAATTTGAAAGTATCAAAGGGTTGTTGTAACAATAATGTATATTATTATATTTATTATTAGTAATCGGAGTAATTTTTATCTTAGAAATTATTAAATACCTACAAAAGATAAAAATGATTGTATAAGAAAAGTACCTACTAACGGACAATTTAAAAATGTCATGACTCTTATAGTTATGGAATTTAAAAATATTTTATAAGCATCCAGTTATTGAAAAAATGAGAAAATAATAAGAATAATAGATAATAAATATATTTTTTATATATTTTTTATGTACTTACCACGGATGAGAAAATAGTTTCCACTCTTTGTTTAGGATTGCTACCTTTCTTTGTTCGGAGTAGCAAATAAATTCTTTCGATGTCTGGACATTTCCTTAAAAGCTTTTCGACTAAAACCTTTCCAAGAAATCCCGATCCACCGGTAATAAAAATGGTTTTACCAACAAAACTCTTAGAGACTCGATCCGGAAGATGACTTAATTCATCTGGAAGCACCGGTGGCTTATAATTCAAGAAACCTTCTTCGAACGAAGCCATTTCTGAAACAACAAATAAATTATTAATAATCTTTTGTGTTACTTATATAATATTAGTTATATAATATTATATTTATATATGGAAAACATTCATTTATTAGTAACAATATGGTTGAGTGACAGGTGAGTATTTTATTTGTCATCTTTAATATTTTGCGGTGGATGGCAAAGAGAGAAGGGCACTCTTTTACACTCATTATCAAGGTTTCTAGCTTCAAGGTTTTAAACGGCATATGTTCATATTAATATATAGTCACCAACAAGTAAATTTCTCATAGTTTATTATAGACCTATCATTATAATTATGCTTTGTAGTAAGTCATATAATAAGAATAATAGTCGAATATAACCACAATTATTCATGAAACGAGACACATGACAATGGAAGACCATAAACTATATAGTACTATAATCTAGCTTTGCGTAATATTGTTGTGAACAATTATTTCTATGTAAAGTTAATGTATGCTCATGTAAGATATTAAATTATCAATGTGTAAATGGCTGTATAAAACTAAAGGAGACAGAATATTTCAAAAATTATTTTTATACGGAATAATAAAGTCTAAAGTACAATATTCTAGTTTATATATTTCAAGTTTTTATATACAATCATAGGAGTGTGCACCAGTTCATCTAAATTTCTTTTTGGTCTGTATCGGCTGCCAAATATTGAATATTAAAGCCTTTGGGTCCCAGTTAATTTTGCTCCATAAAATTATATTACCTCAAATTATGATATATATTTAGTTGAAAAAAATATTTTTATAGAATATAATAATACGAATCCTATAAATTAATTAGAAAATGTGTTTTAAATTGTAATCAATAATTATCAATGTTATATCTAAAAATAAATTTTGTTTTTGGCGTTATTGACTCGAGCTGAGATGAATGAAAATATTTTGCACGTGCAGTGAGCATTGTTACAGACACACAAACTCTGCTTAAATATGTCATTAGGTAACTAATTGATTCAACATTACGAGTATCGAGTAATACAATAACATACAAGCGAATAAGTAGGTAACCGCTCTGCAGTAAAGCAGATGTCAAGTGCACCTCGTCATTGAGTAGGTCACTGTAATGGCTGTGTTAAATATGAATTCAGAGATTAATCATTGTATACGATGATAAACGATATGTTGATAGCTGATCCAATATGATGTCTACAAAATAATTCACAAGTCATAATTTTGACGGATTTCTTGTAATTTGTTACTATGTAATTTCGATATTTTCTTAATTGCTGTTAGAAAAGTATATGAGGGACCTTGTATTTAATGTTCAAGCCTAAAAATTGTATCATACATAAGTCAAATAAAAACTACATAATATCAAAAATTCCAAATGTCTATAAATAGTTTAAAAAGAGCCTAACTATTTATTAAGAATTGATCATGTCTTGGAAAGTTGGAAGTGCAAATTTTACATATATTTTTGACTATTGCATGTCTCTATAGTTATTCATTTTTTCGAATTAGGTACAACAAAATAACAAAATTTAATTTGTCAAAAACTGGTTTTGTGTAAGAATTTATTTTTTTTTCGTTACTTATTTTTTTTTTTTTACTGACTAAATTGAAAATTTGGAAAAATTGTTTACTTTAGGCACCCGAAAGGAGTAAACTAACAACCATTATTTTTTTATTTTGTAAACAAAATTTCTACCAAAAGGTGATACGATTTCAACATATAGTATCTTATCTCATATCAAATTGGATCAAGGTGGTACTTTAGAGAGGTCATTTTTTGATGTTCTCGATTGTTGTTCTACGTCACGGGAAAAACCACCAAAATATCTAAATCTAAATCTATTTTTTTTCTGAATGTTTGTTTATCGCCATATAAACGAATACAATTTTGAAATAACTGTTAAAAATTAGATTTCGTCAATATCGAGTAAATATAGTTATTTCTCCGTAATTTTTCATCAAGGATTGAAAATTTAAAACAAGGTTCCACTTAAATAATTAAATAAATTCATTTATTCACAATAAATAATAATATCATCAAATATACTTAGTTATATATATATATCATAGGCTGACTAACCGTTTTCGCTCAGAATCGTTTTTCGTATATAATAATATTATATCATTGAATTCAAATTTAACACCATCTATTGCAGTGATTCACTTGTAACCTACTGTACAGCAGAGTGACACCCACTTGCCCACCTTTTTTATATTTTATATTATACAAAATAAATATATGTTTCAAAACTATCCATGACCCACCAAAAATATAATTGAGACACACAGTTTGGAAATCTAACCGTAGAGTCTATAAGCTAAGTATGTAGGGTAAAACCACTGTGATAAACACCTGGTGGATATTAAAATTTATCAGTTTGAGTTATTATTTAACTTTGAATTTATGTTATTATTATATTAAATTACTGTTTTTTATTCACATCTAAAAGAAAGGTAAGGACATATACGTTACATCTTACATTATTTTTCAATAGTGGCAATGGCGTGTATAAAACCATCATTTTTATATAAATAAGTACTCTAAATCCAATATGATAATAAATTGTTTGGACATCATCGAATATATACCTAATACCTACTACCACATTTAAAAGGAAATATTTTTAGAATGTCACATTACCACCAACAACATAGATTTTGATTTTAAAAGTACAGCCTACAGCCAGGGACTAGAACCGAACTTAAAAGAACCTGTTCTGGAACTGATACCTTACAATTTTCAGAACCAGAACCGGAGCCGAAACCTTTATTTTAATAAATAAAGTACCGGAACAGAATCAGAATTTTCAAATTAAAGGTCCTTCTAGGTTCAAAAGTAAAATAATTGTATTTGTCATAATTAAATGGTATTACTGTTTTGTGTATAAACTAAGTATGATCATATGAGTTTTCTAATATTTCTCATACTATTAATTAAACCAGCATTCCGGATAGGTGTTTAAAACTATTATACTTTTCGATACCGAAATTATTTGGACACGATAACTTTATTTTTTTTTTATCAAAATACCAGAACTGAACCGAACAGTTATTTTATTTTTGGAGAACTAGTGCCGGAACTGATGTAGATAAATTCAAAAGGTTCCAATCCCTGCCTACAGCTGTTACTATTTTCCTTCATGATAAATTTAAAATGATTAAATATCTACTCATATGTGGGTGCGCATTGTAAGTAGTAAGTACAGAGAGTACATTTTCATATCCAGTACATCATGATGGTTGCTTTTGGTTTTTAGTTTAATTTAGAGTTTAAAGTCCTTTTATCGTAAATAATTATTGTACATTTTAACATTTTAACATTTTAACATTCAAAAGCTAACATCGTGATGTCATGAATATGAATCTGCTTTGTAATTCATTTTTTCTATGTGGTCTTATAGTATAATACCAAACAAATTTAAATTTCAAACTATTAAAACTAATTTGAATTAAATTGGATGTTTAGTTTTTAATGATCATAATCACGAACATGTTTATTTATAAATAATAAGGTAACTAATAATTATTATTATGTTAATTTAAACGCCGTTTGCCCATACATATTATACGTACCCACCTATAGGTACGTCAATACTTATAATTCATATAATATTCTCTTGTGTAAAACATAATGATTAATGGTTAATGAATAATATAAAATATTAAACTAATATTTATATAGTTCTTGATTCATACAACTGTATTTGCAATAATTTGAATATATTAACTCTGTAATAATAGTATTTTGTTGTTCACATTGTTAAATTATTTTCAGTTATGCGTGAATCAATAATAATAGTTAATACGAACAGAATACGTCATAATATTATTATATTGGGCGTTGTCGGCACTATTAACACGTTCACCTCATCTCTAATCTAGTTTTTTCGTAACAAATTGTATAAGTAGCAATACACCAATACCTATACATACTATGGTTTCAAATCATTACATACAAAAATTAAAATACAATTTTACAAACAATTTAGGTAGGTACTATGAAAAAAAACATTATTGGAGAACCCATATAGGACATGTTAAAAAACAAAATTAAATCCTCACTTTGCTTAGAATATTAAGTTATATCAATATATTTAAGTTATAATTATTATCAGACCATAATCTATATATTATGTTTTCTATAGAGTTCCGTTGACCATCATGATATTTTGATGATATTTCAATTGATTATAATATAGTATAAATTAGTGAATATCTACTTATTATTATACTAATAATAATATCATGAAAGTAGTTCTGTCTTAGACACTAACTTTCACTAGGCACCTACCTATTATTTTGTTACAGTTTAAACTCATGAGAACTAAAGAACATTAATACATTATACAATTATCAATAGGTATAGTATACCATGATGCCACGATGGTACAGCAACAAAATATGAATATTGTATTTTGTACTTATTTTATAGACTAGGTACTTATAATTATAGAAAATAATTTAAAATTAGATGACATTATTGATAAGATACATTATTATTGTTTTAGCTGTATACCTACCTATTGAATAATAAACTTGTTATTAATTGCTAATAATCATACGATGAAACAGTAACCTGTAATATGCAAAATACAATACTGTATACTGTATAGTGTATATGGGAAAATGAAAAGTTTGTAATTTTAATGGCGTTATGTTTTTAGATTCTGAGCGGAGCGATGAATGTATTGGTTTTACAATGATGTATGTTTTTATATTTTTATTTATATTTTAGATTCTGAGTGAAACGATGAATGTATTGATTTTACAATGATGTGTGTTTTTTATTTTTTTTTTTATTTTTTTTTTATTTTTTTATTTTTTTTTTATTTTTTATTTTTTTTTGTGTCTGTCATCACGTTTTAGGACAGTAAAAGTGCTTGGATTTTCTTCATCAGTAGCTTTTCTGATAGGAAAGTGAATCTAGTTGGTACTTTGGGGGGTCAAAAGTATAAATTTCCCAGTAGTTTTCACAAGCGCCGGGAAAAACAACATAAAAATTAAGGAAAAACGGGAATTTTTACGCAA